CAGCAATGAGAGCTTTCTTTTGCTTTATGGAAGGGTACTATATGCATCGTTCATGGTTCACAAGGACAAATACCTTGGTTCACCCCTTACACACCTTTGTCAGCTGTGATGCTCTTGAGCCTCTTGAGGGTGGCCTAATGAGCTGTGCTGCTGCCAGCAGCCTGCTCAAGAGGCTCCTCATGTAATACCAACTACCCAGGCACATACAGGGAGAGGGGAGAAAGTAACTGGGAAAATGTGGGAAGGAACTGGGTGAGATCTCCTCATCCTAAGAAACAGGGAGGGTTGAATGCCTTTCAGATCAGTTTGGTGTTACTTCAACATCACCTTTCCCCCTAGTTCTAATCAGCTCCATATGTGCTTCTACACCTGCTTGGTTCCTGTAGAGACCAAGACAACCAAAGAATGGGTGCTATTTTGCATGCTGTTAAGAATGGATTTTTGGTTTTCCAAATCTGTGGGTTTTAATCCCATAAATTGTCTTAGAGAAGGGAGAGAACAGATAAACAGAACTTGAGTTCAATCAATCTTTCAAGAGGTCTGGCTTTTCTTTCTGAGCCAATTCTATTGTTTCAAGATAAGAACAGCACCATCACCCAACTGAAAAATCAGCAGACACCTTCATTGCTCATAGGCTGATATACTCCTATCATTGCATTGTCAGACAGCCTACTGCTCCTGCTAGTTATTCATCTGGTTTAGTATGTGCAAGGAGGGAGATGCTAACGCTACTGTGCACACTGGTGGTGCAAGTAATTCACTGCATTTCTTGTATTTCTTCTTTTCCCACATACCAGCCACCAGCCTACCTTATCCTAATTATACCAACATATGCAGCTAGACAGGCTTTTTGCACTCATTTTATACTTTAAGTTTTGCATGCTCTTCTGTCCAAAATCTCTCTCTGTGTTGCATTTATTCTCAATTACATCCACATATTGGACATTGTTAGCTGAATAAAAACCTTAGTGACTGTAGGGTGATCCAGAGGAAAAAAAAAAACAAAAACCAAACACATAGCAAGGCAGTTACAATTTCCAAAGCAAGGGAATTGGCCTGGTTTATGGTAAAATTTCACAGAGGGTGAACAAACTATCCAGTGTTTTAGTCCTTTCTAAAACTCCAAGACAACTCTCTAGCCTTGTGTAACTCACAGATTGTCTTTAGAGTTTCAGATCTTGTGTACTCTATTCAACAGAAATTCCCTGGAGTGTACTGTGTCTAAAAATTGTGTCTAAGATTTTTTTAAATTCAATTTTGATGAAGGAAGGAAGCTATCAAAAACTTGATATGTATCAAAACCTACTGTCAAATAGGAGGCCATTTTCTGTCTTGCCTAGTTTTGAATAATACTTATTGCTTGTAGGCACCACTAAATGTTTTTCCACAACATTTCAGTTTTTTGGTGTTGTTTTTCTGTTTCACTGATCCCTTTAAGAATTACTTCAATTAACTTTTAGTAACAGCTGTTGATCGCCACAGCAATGTTCATTAATGAACAATTCCTACTTCTTCCATATATCACCCTTCATAGTCTTGCATGTACTTTACTACACCATTGACTTTGTTTTCAAGGCCAAGCCTTTAAAATATAAATATTCAATACAATAATTTGGTTTGTTAAAATATATACTTCAGACAGCAGCTAGATTTTAGTGTGCTGAAACCACCAACTCCCAGAGCAAACACTACAGTTATTTCATTCCCCTGGCACCCCTGCATATTTGTGTAAATATTTGCTGGTTTCCTTTTCAGAGACTGTTCTTCGGAACAAGAACTACACCATGGCAGTTGGTCATGTGAAAAGCATAACTAGGTGCGACAACAATACTAACATTTCCTAGTAATTCCAGTAATAAAATTGGGATTTTCCTGTGTATACAAGTTTTTTTCTTGTTTGTACTCTTATGATTAAAAAATAATAAGAAATTGAGGCTGGGGAAAAACACACAAAGAACTGACTAAATTGTGAAGAGTTTCACAAGCATTCATAACAATAATCCCCAAAGTCAGACCACTGCTTTCATATTAAAATTTTAAATGTTTTTTCCAAAATTGCTTTTTAAAAAAAATCAACAGTGAAAACAGGTATGATCATAAAAGTTGTCTAAAATATATTTGAAATGTAATTTGTATTTTTCTAGAATGCTTCAAAATTACACCTTCCAATTAATGATTTCTATTTTGACTAACTGGGATTTTCCAGCAGAAATGTTTTGATAAAAATTTCCTAAACCAGCTCAAGTACAAAGTTATTTTTCAAAACATGCTTTTGTCTTCCTGACAGCATCCTCCATGTGGAAGCTGGAACTCTTAAAATTAACAGAAGGTGTACGTGGAGGAGGTGGGATGTTTGGAATGAGTGCTTCAAATGCCAGATCTATCATCCGTATTATTAATATGTCAGATCTGGTGCATATGTAGAGCTAGTGTTGAGGGTACAAATTTGAAGAAGTTTCTGCACAGCAATCGGTTCTTGTGAGGCATGGTTACCGAGGTGTTGACAGTGCTGAAAATGTGATGAGGTATCCATTCAAGGCAGGAGGAATGTCCCGAGTAAGGGATGTAGCAGGATTCTGAACCACCAGAACCCTGTGCAGGGGAGGAAGGGGAGTGTCTATTTACCACCTTTTAATGAATAGCAGTGTGACGTTAAAAATAAAAACAGCAAAAAGTGCAACTTTAACAAAGAGATGAAGAATGTGTCAGTGCAGGAAGCTCCAAGGTCAGGCTAGTTCTAGGAGATGGGGCGGCCCCTCTGGGCTTCCCTCTAAGCAGAGGTTCACCCACATGTTGTGAAATGGCTGAGTTGGACCCTGGGCTTCTGTGAAAAAGATATTGGTAACAGAAATCCTAAAATGCTAGGAAAAGAGCCTAGTGTCAGATATAACCATGGTCTGCAAAATATTCTTCTTTTGTAACTTGCTTCCACATTTGTAATCAGAAAGTTACTGCTCGATTTGGATGTTACTCCCCAAAAGTTGTAGATAAGCTTAAGTACCCACAAAACCATAATAAATTAGGACATTGGCTTCTGTGTCACAGCAAACTGCACACCTCAGCTCAGGGGCAGTGTGGTCAGAGAAGGAAAGCCTAAGATAATGTACTTGAACTAATATACCTCCAGAAACAGATAGAAGACAAATACACTGCATATTTTTGTGCTACCATGTATTGTGGCTATCTCCTTGGTTCCCCCTTTTTTGATCTATGCCTTAAGGTCTTGCAAAAATGTAAGTGTAAGAAAAATCTCATATTCCCATTATCCCAAGCAGAGCTTTCAATATTAGATGGTCAGACAAATGCCTCAGAAAAGCTGAAGGAGGTGGTGACAGTTGAGGGACCTGTAACACCTCAGTGAAACGCATTAATGTACCTCAGCTAATATCTTATATGTCATTATCGTTCCTGTGCAGGCCTTTCCGCTTCCACTTAATGCCCTATAACAGGCCTTTGCGATACCAGTATTATCAGAGTGAAAGGTTGTTGGGAGTGATGTAATCATTTGTGGTTATTGACCTACCCAGTAAGTTTTTTATGTTGTTTTTCTTGCTTGTGTGTGTGAACGCCATGAGGAAAATCCAGGATGCTGGAGGCAGTGCTTATCAGCCACTTCACTAGGAACACCATCATACTACAAAACGTGCATTAATTATCATGAAACCATCACGTGTGTGAACACACTCATCTGCCTCACCTACTCAGAAAACTTGCATATTGGCATGCACCTCTTGCATTTTCCCCTCCAGCTTTGTTTACATCCTCTGAGATTTACATTCCTTCTTTAGCCCATGCAAAGGACGAGATATTCCTGGCATCAGTGTGTTCATTACCATGGTTACCTAGTTCAACTGCAGCAAAATGGGTTGGTCCATGACCTGACACCACAGCTCCAGAAGAGCATTCCTCCCTTATCCACTGCTTTTCAACCTCTCCTGCTACAGCAGCTTTCCCTCCCCCACCCCCAAAATCTGTATGTAAGCAATAATGGGGCATGCAACACAAACTCTCACAAAGTCTACAACATATTTTTATGCCTATAGCTTGTCTCTAAGCATGTTTTCTTGCAGGCCCAGTCCTTGGGTTTCAAGATTTTTTTTTCCAGCAAGCTGTCATCAAAAGAATACTTGCAGATTTTACCCTCTATTTGAAGAGAACGTTATACTTGAAATCTTAGCTTTGGAAGCATGCTTACAACAACAACCTAGGTCCATCATGGAAGAATAAAAGTTCGGGACATCAGCAAAATGACTGCCTTAATCCAGTCTCTCAGCAGGGTGTGGGGAACAAACAGCTTTTCCCCACACACAAAAACACTTTGGGTTTATTTGGTGTTAAAAATGTACAGTTTATTCAACTTGTACTATAAATCTACTGAGATATTACCATGTCAGACATTAAATCTAAATAAGATCTCAATATGAAATGAGGTATAAACTACAAAATATTGATAAAATATAATGAAGACAGAATTCAATCCAGACAGAAGGCATATGTATCTGCACAACTGGCTCAAATTCTCACCAAAATAAAACTTAATCAACTTTACTTTTTATTGTCCAGGCAAAGTTTATAGTAAAATAGGTACATAAACCATTATGAAGAATTCCTGCTCTTATCACTTGTCTATTTGGATAATGTATGCTTCTAATGTTCATAACAAAATTGAGTCTGACATATTTAAAGAAACTTAAAGCAATGATGCTATCTCTTAAAATGGTACACTGAATATGTGTACCACACGATGTCAAAGCAAACACAGATGTATCTTATGGTGACTCTGAAAACACAAATATCAATGAATCTCTGTGAGGAAAGCAAAGGCTGGTAAAATTCAAAATGGCTTTATAGTCATACAGTTATGTAAAAATAAAGTTGTGAAGTTCTCCAGACTTGATTTAACATGGCTGAAACAGAGTGGATAATTTGTTTACATCTGAACAGCTAAAAAGATCAGTCAAATGAAAAATCTACATAAAAAGACCAACTTGCACACTTACCTTTTCCATTTATTGTTAATGCTGATGCAATTGTGGCTGTTACTGGCACTGGCAATTGTGGCACTAATGGATGTATCCTTGGTCTGCTCCCCATCCTGGCACGCTCTGCACCAGGTCCTAATAACGCTCCCACTGGTTTTTCTGCTGCTACTTCTGGTGCTACAGAGTCTTCTTGATCCTGGTCTATGTGGTCCATTTTATCAGGGCTTTCATTCTGGAAGCCATCAACAGTTGTCCGGCTCTTAATTGGACTTTTGGGCACTAGAATTTTAATACCTGATTTTGCAAGGTCCATATTTTTCCTTCCAGAAAGAGATGGTGAGTTGTTTTTCCGGAACTTCTGGGTGGCAGTAAAGAGTTGATTATTTTTTGACTCATGGTCTTTACCCATAACTAAAGATTTAGTGGATGTCTTTGAAAAAGAACTATTGGTAGATCTAGAAATTTGTTTTCTGGCATTATTTGGAGAGGTCCTGTTTGTCCTGGTTAATGTGCTTTCTTTCTGCTTTTCATTGTGACGTCTGTTAAATTCATGTATATATTCCTCACAATTAACAAGGTGCTGTTCTGGCTCCCAGGTATCATCTTCACTGTCGTATCCTTTCCATCGCACCAAATATTCTGTTTTTCCCTTCTTGTTTTTCCTCTTGTCAACAATTCTCTCTACCTGTTGAAAATGAAAATTAAACATTAGATATGGGCAGATACGCAAGTCGAGTGAGCAACTTTCATGCAAACAATTCTTTTTTAAGTGTAGATGGATTTAAAATTACAGTTGCAGTTCTGTACTTCTGTATTGTAGCTCTGTATCTCATAGTCTTTCATTACTGACTGAAAACACCCTTCTTTAAACTTCAGATTGTTATTTCTGTCTAATAAAAGATGTTCTAAAATACCAAAGTTATTCTTCAACGCGTATTTGGTATGCACAAGAACCTGAATAAACATATATTGTTAACGATCGGCACTGGCCCCAGCTAAGTTTCAATACCAGCTTCAACATCTTAATCAATGCTTCTCTGAATATAGAGACCATGTTCAAATATACTGCAAAAACAGTTTGTTTACCTTAAAAAAATATCAGTTTAGTATTGTTCAAATAATTTGCTTACTTAGCATAAGGCACATGTGAGAATCTTTTCCTTATGGTGAGAGATCCTTTAGATACCAGGGACAATATGGTACAGCTCAGAAATTGGAGCAAATACGCAAGAATTTTTAGAGTTTGCTTTGTCTTCTGAAAACAGAGAACTTGTTTTGGCCAGAGTCTTTGATACACATACTTGAACCAATTACCATGCCTCACTTATCTGCAAATAGAGATGGTATTTATGTCACAAGTATTAAGCATGCACATGCTATAACAGCATGTGGGAGCCACAGGCTAGAGGAATTCAGGCACTGGAGTAAAGCACGACAGGGCAGACAGCAGCAGCTGCAGGAACAGAGCCTCACGCCTTGTACCAAAACTACTGCCAGTCATGCAGCACCTCAGAAACTGAATTCTTTCACAGAAGAAAAAAAAAAAAGAAAAGATGCAAGTGTAAGGTTAGTCTCACAATTCCCCTTTTTCAGAAAAGGCTGTTTCTTCTGGTAAATCCTCCAACCCACTTCAATTCAGTTACGGAACCAATACAGCTTTCTTCCCCATCTCTATCTCCCTTTTGGTTATTAGGTTAAAAAAAAAGAGGTGGAAAAAAAAGTGGGGGAAGCGAAATGGGATGAAACTACTGCTTATTAACTTAACTCCTAGCCCTGCTGCTTAGCCACTCATGAGCTAAGACCATGCACATAAGCAAGAATCACACATACTTAGGATAACCTCTGAAGACTAGTAACACTTACTGGAGTGGCATAAAAAAGAATGTAGGATCTACAAAATAATTTGGAAGGACTGAAGGAAAATACAGGTATATGTGCCATTGCTGAATCACATTATCATTTACAACAGTTTCCCTGAAGAGTGCACTTCAGCTTTGAATTTTTGTGTTGCATGTTATCATAATGTATGGCATTGTTTTCAACAGCAAAGTTAAATGATTACTGTTACTAATTACTATTATTACAATCTCAGCAGCAAACTAACTATACATCCTAGAACTTGATGTATCCTTCAGGTGTTGTACTATGCTGTCTTGTAATTAGGATGTTGCATCATTCTGTTTTTAAAGGTCTAGAAAATCAAACAAAAAATCCACTACAAATAAAAGAAACACAAACTGTCAGACTAGTCCCAGTTTTACTTTGTTACTCGGTTATATGGTATTGGCAATTCAGTACATTTTAAAGTGCAATACAATAAAAATTGTCCAAATATTAAATATTTTAATATTTAAAAATATTAAAACAGTTTTTATGCTGGTTATTGCACTTTTTAGTCGAATCACTGGACTTAAAAACCCCACAGTATTGAAACTATTATTTTTCTATGACACTATACTTAACATCTTAACTAAAATGCTATCTCAAATAATAAAGCCATAATGGAAGAATAAGCCTTCATTTAAAAAAATAAATTAGTAGACATGAAGTAAAGATATTCAGTAGTAAGTCAGAAATATTAAACAAAAACATAAAAACTAACTCATGAATCAGAAGCCTGACATCATGTCATCAAAAAATTAGTTCCTGCATTAGTTTTGCATATCATTTCTCCTTCTCTTGACCTTCTAGAGTAAAATTTAAAAATATGATTCTCAGAGAAAGATCTCTGCTACTAACAAGGTATTTTTTTTCCTATCAGGAAATCTTCATAACAAACTACATTGATTACTGGGCACAAACTTCTACTAATATCTTTAGATGTTGAAAGGCCACCCATTAAGGACATGCCCCTTTAAAGTAGGAAGCCATTCTTCTCTTCCAAAAAAAACAGACACCTTGCAGAGATAACAGATGAGCTCTAGAACAGGAAATGCAAAAATCCATTACTAACCTGATGATTTATAGAGCAAACGGGAACACATAAGGAAACTTATATTTAGCTGTATTGTCCAACTCTGCATCAAAACCTATTTTGATGTTGCTCTTTTTGATTCAAAGTTTTTCTCTAACACTGTTTAATTCGTCCTGAAGACATCTTATATCTGTTTTATTTACAATGAAAAAAAACAACAACAACAAAAAAAACATCAATTAACCTGCAACACACAATTTATCACGTGCCTTCAGAGATTTAGTGAAGGACTTTCTGAATTGCCTCCACTTAATTAGTCTAACTGTGCTAGGACCTCTTGCTGATAAGAACAGCTACAAAAGTGTTTCTCATCCAGATTTGGAGAGAGAAGATTGGAATGCTTCCACAATGTACACAGGGTCATTGAATAAGGTGACTGTTGTGGTTTAACCTGGCCGACAGCTAAACACCACACTCACTCTCTCCCCTCCCTCTCTGGGTTGGGGAAGAGAAACAAGAAAGTGAAGCCTGTGAGCTGAAATAAAGACAGTTTATTAAGACAGGAAAATAATAATAACAATAATAACAATAACAATAATGATGATAATAGTACTACTAATAATGTGCATGAAACAAGTGATGCGCAATGCAATTGCTCACCACCTGCTGACCGATGCCCAGCCTAACTCTGAGCAGCCAGCCCAACCCTCTCACCCCCAGTTAACCACCCCTATATATTGTTCAGCATGACCCCAGATGGTATGGAATACCCCTTTGGACAGTTTGGGTCAGCTGTCCTTGGTCTGTCCCCTCCCAGCTCCTGCTGTACCCCCAGCCTGCCCGTTGGCAGGACAGAGTGAGAAGCTGAAAAGGCCTTGGCTTCGTGTAAGCACTGCTCTGCAACAATTAAAACATCAGCATGTTATCAGCACTCTTCTCATCCTAAGCCAAAACATAGCATTCTACCAGCTACTAGGAAGAAAAAAGTGCAATAACCAGCATAAAAACTGTTTTAATATTTTTAAATATTAAAATATTTAATATTTGGACAATTCTTCCAGTTAAGGTGCAGTTTGATGATACAACTAAACTGATGGACTAGGTAACATCAAAACATGCAGTATAGCTTCTCCCCCCTGTTGTTACAGAGCTGAGCTGGTGCTTTTCTGATCCTATGATGGGTGATGTTCAGAGAGTTAAAAACTGGCAGAGTACTGCAAAGCACCAAGGTAAGAGCAAGATCACATCCTAGGCCAAGATCATGCCAGAAATGCTGGTGACAACTATTTCTTGCCAGCTACCATATCTACAGCATCCAATGCCTTCTGCCACAGGGTAATATTTATTTTTAGTTGTTAAAAGGTTCCATGCTGCCAGGATGTGCTGTTAACATCTAGTTTTCAAGTGTTGTGGAAGAATAAAAAGAAAAAGGAAAATGATACAAAAAGGAAAGATAAAATGAGTATGAAGGAAAGTTATCAGGCAAACTATCTGGGTGGCAAAAGATAACATTTCCCAGTTTATTTTAACATGCTAAGCTATTGCTTTCTCCACATGTGGTACTGGTCAATGACACTCAAAACTCAGCCAGAAGAAAAACTGTCAGAAAAATTAACATACTGCTCAGAGGTATAAACCAACACTGGAATATGCAAATTACAGTCCTACATACAATAATTGTATTTGAGACTTCCCATCTGCAAGACGGTAAATTTCCCTTCCTTCCACAAATGTGGTGAGAATTGGTTAGTGTTTGCTCTTTGAAGAAGCAAATACTTTGATTTTAATTGCTTTTATTAATAGAATATACAGCATTTACACTTTCAAATGAAACAGATAAGAATAAGATAAGGTCACAGTGAAAACTGTGTCTGGCTGCAGCTGTGCCAGGTGAAAATGATCACACTTATAGCCCATCTGCAACTGCTCCTCCCTGTCCCGTGCTCAGAGGCAACAGCTCCTCCCCATCTGTCAGCCCGCATAACTTCTTGTGTAATTGTTCCCTAACGTAGCTCTGTCAAAGTGACCTGGTTTAGATATTAAGAATACCTGAGCTAATGTAGGCACCCTGAAATAACAGGTTTGGAGAGCAGCCACATATGCCATACTTCTGACACATCTAAGAGGACTGCAGAGGACAATAAACACCTATGAGCGAGATGGGTACAGTAACCTCTTCATTCTGCTACAGTCAGAAATAAAACATGCATGAGTTGGACTCAATGATTGTTGTGGGTTCCTTACAACTTGGGATGTTCTATGGTTTATTCTATACAACCTTAATCCAGGATGAAAGGTCTTCAGTTCAGCTCAGTCAAATTAAGGATGAAATCCAAAAGGATGTTCTCTGTCCAAAGCACTGTAATTTGGGCATGTTTGTAAACTCTAAATAAGGCATACTCTCCATGCATATGTTTATGTATAAATTTTAAAAAAATCATATTTTAATTTAATGGAAGATTTGAAGAGATTAAAGTAAAGGTACAGCTGTTCCCAGTGAAGAGGAAAAAAATAAACAGAATGAGCAAAATAAACATATAAGTAGGCAAGTAAATATTCAAGGAGTATTGCCTTGTTTATCATAAATCCATTTTCCATTCCCATGGTGTTTCTCTCTGTCCTCACATTTGTGTCAGACAAAATTAACTTAAAGGTAAACAGAATAGAATCTATTTGACTTCATAGTCTGTTGCCTGTAAAATATAGAAGACAACCTTGTTCTGTTAGCTTAAGGCTATGTTTGGTTCAGAGCAAAAGTGCAATTGAGAAGC